TTAACTGGAAGACTCACTATTGGTAGGATGACAACACTCCTACACTAACCCACAGGTTTAACACTCGATCAAAACACCAGCTGCAGTTTTTTGTAGAAACTGACACACTGATTCCAAAATTCATATGAAATGGAAGGCACAGGCTCTCCAAAACAATCTTGCAAAAGAAGAATGAAGTTGGAGACGTACACATCCCAGTGTACAATTATGATTCCTCAAGAACCAAGCAGCATAAGCACCTGCCTTGGCATAAGCACCTGCCTTGCAAGAAGGCAGTCGTGAGTTCGAAACCCAGTACTGATAAAAAAAAAGAACCAAAGCTAAGTGGCACCCCCACTGGGACAAACACACAGCAGTGAGGTAGAACTGCAAGTCTAAAACTGATCTCAGACACCTATGGTAAACTGATTTTTACCGCATTACCAAAGCAGTTTGTTGGGGAAAGATTTGTTTTCAACACGTTCGTAGTGCTGGCAGCAGAACCAACCCGGACCCCTACCTCACAAAGTATACAACAATCTATTAAAAATGGCCCAAACAGCTAACTGTAAGAGTTTTCAAGTTATGAAAACTTCAGATCACAGGACAACATCATCACTTCGGATTAAGCAACAGTTTCTCACGGAAGACACCAAAAGTACCACTATCTAAACAAAAAATGTAAGCGAGTTGGGCTGCACCCAAATTAAAATTTCTGTCTTTCATGAAATGGAAAGATAACATACAAGACAGCAGAAATTTTTGACAAGTTATATACCTAGTTAGATATTTGCATGAAGAATAAATAATTCTACAACAGTAATAAAAAAAAACACCCAATTTTTCAAATGATCAGAAAACCATTTTTCCAAAACAATCATGGAGCACCAGGGAAATGCAAGTTAAATCCAAATCCACAATGAAATACTACTTCACAGTCACTAGGATAAGTATAATTAGAGGACAGATAAGTGTTGGCAGCGATGCAGAGAAACTGGAACCTTCGTACTCTGCTGGTGGGAATGTGAAATGGTGCAGCTGCTTTGGAAAAGTTTGATAATTCCTCAAAATAGAGTCATGATGATGATCCTACTTCTCGATACACATCCAAGAGAAAAATAACACCCATGTCCACACTGAAACTCGTACAAAGACATTCATACAGCACTTTGTTCAGAATATCCAAGGAAGGGAAACAACCCATGTGCCTACAAACTGCTGAGTGTATAACAATACAATTGTTGGCAGGGATGAAGGGAAGGGCAGAGAGGAGGAGAGGAGGAAAGGAGCTGGGGAAGGGGAAGGGAAGACATTCCTATCTGTTCATCTAAGAGCTTAAGAAACGAAGGAATATATGGAAGGATTTCCTGCCAAGTTTTAGTATTGGTTTCTTCCATGTGCCTGGAGAGGGAGATCATTAATGTTATAAACACGTCACTACTGCATAAGCTGACTTGTTTCCATTAGCCAACATTATTTCTTTGCAGAATCCAGTGAAGTAAAGTAAAAAGGTAAATTCTGAGTCATCTTAAACGGGTCGGTTTCTGGCTCCATGCTTCTGGGTGTAACCACAACATTCACCGATTCTCTGAGAGCTCTACAACATGGTGAGGGGTCCCCACGCCATGTGCCAAAACCCAATTTCCATGGGCCCCCCCGGGCTTTCCCAAACCCATCCCTTCCTCTCAGCAACTCTGCGAGGCCAGAAGGGCAGAAACACCTCCTTGTACTTGCAGGAAATGCTGTGCCCGTGACTGTGGCCTAATCCTGCAGACAGCATGGTCACACACTGCCACCTCCCTTCTGCCTTCCCCACGACCCTGGAGCTCAGAGCCTGGCCAAGTCTTACAGGTCCCCAGCGCATGCTACACAGGAAAGCCTGCAGCAGGAAACTCAATTATTTCTAGTTTTAATCCAAGGATTTGAAGCAAACCAACCTACAACACACTTATGATCAAACCGCCAGAGCTCAGTCAACCTCTTTTTCTGTGAAGTACCAGCCTCAGATATTTTGTTACAGCTACAGGAGACTAAAACACAGCTGTCATCATGACTACTTTACTTTTCTACAGTGCTTTAGAGTTGATGAAGTACATCAAGGCCCTGTTGCATTTGCAGTCACACAACCGTGTCCCAACAACAAGCTGACTCAAGGATTCAGGGCTTGTGTGATGCTCTAGTCTGATCCCCAGAAGTGCAAATGAAAACAAGTTTAAAATAAATACAATAAAAATTAGCATAGGTCATCTTTATTGAGCAGTCACAAGTGTCCCACTGGGCTCATTTTGTAGATAAAGAAATAGACGCAGGTTAGCTGAGAGCCAGGGTCAGAGTCATACACAGAAGAGGCTGAGAATCCCGTCAGATGTGCCTGACCCCCAGCCAACTCCTGTTCCACACAGTGTGACCACATTACAGCTCTGCACACTGCTGTTACAGCTACACATGTTTCATAGCTAGAAGATATGGTATCGTTGTTTTGTCAGAAATTTTCATTTTAATGCTTAAATCTAGGAGGATGCAAACTTTTAGCATTCATCGCCTTTTACTGCGGTGAAATTAGTGTGGTATTTACAGATCAATAGTAAAATCTGCTGAATTGAGTAGAACCCCATGGTACTTAACCTTTCCTTTACACAACATGCTGGAGAAAATTGCCAACATGAGGCTTCAACGAAGAAGGCCAGAAGTTCACCCTGCTGAATAACTGCTTAATTAGACACCTTTAAGAACACTGCAACCTCCTGCAAAGGTCAGCTTGACTGTGACAGCTGTGTAGATATATCCCGGGATAGGAGGTCACACTGGCATAAGATTAAGACCAACGAATTTTTAACATCTTGGTAATGATGCTCTGCGGCCCTCTATTGTGATGAGCTGATGTAGTATCATGTGGCAGATGAAAAGTAAGATAAAATGACAAGCCTACTACAGAACATCTTGCCTTTTCTTTACAAGATGTGTAAAATATTGGGTGGAAGGCAGGGTATGTTCTCAAGGGTGCAGAGAGAGACAGACAGAGACAGAGACAGAGAGACACAGAAAGACACAGAAAGACAGAGAGAGGAGGATGGCTTGATTATGGTTTGTCTCCATCAAAAACTCATGTTGACACTTCATTCCCTGTTGTTAGGAATTGTGAGGAGAAAAATCAGCATTAGGACACAGAATTTATATTATGATTTTATGATGGTCACCCAGAGTTAAACACAGAAAATATGTCCACAACACTTTGAATATTCAGCCAAGGGCCTGGATCTCACAGCAATGTCTCCCCTGGGTCTAGATGGAGACCTAGAGCCCATGACAGTGCCTCTGATGAGTCCAAATGGAGGTCTAGAGCCTACAAGAAGGACTTATGCCAGTCTGTTTTACAGATCTGCACTGGGATGGCCCAAAGGTCAGCGGTGGAAGCTAGAAAGTCTATGCCAGTGGGGTGAAGGAGCTGTGCTGGTGGGTTGAGGGTTTTATATTGGAGCCAAGAAGTCATGCTCAAAATAAGAACCAGGGTTTTCCTGAAAAGTACCAAGCCATCCTTAGTGACATGAAGGTCCTAAACTCCTCTGACGATAAGAGCGGTCAAGTACACACCAGAAAGTCAGCATGATAAGTTTGTGCTGGAGATTAAGCAGCACACGTCTTCCCCTTCAGAGCCAGGAGACGATGCTCAATGTAAGTACCAGAGATTCCCCAAAGTGAGCCACAGCCATTCTCACCAACAAAGTCCCAAGCTCCTCTAATGACAATGGTCGAACTCACACTTGGGAAGCTAGTCATGACGAGCTCCTCCAGGAGAACCAATGGCTCACAACAGCAACACTTAGGGGACCGCATAACACCCATTCATCTTCTCCACGTCTCTATTTATGCCAGCAACTTTTCCTCAGGTGGAACATCTATGCTCCGCACCGTGTTGATTTAATTCAGGTGGCGTGAAGTTGACCCGCAGTTCCTAATCCATGGCATTCCCCAATACAGATTAAGCACTGTTGGGGGGTGAGCCTATGAGGAGGTGTTTGGATCGTGCTGGAGAGAAGGAGCCCTCATAAATGCAACAATACCATTGAGCTGGGGCGAGTTCTCACCCACGGGGGCCCAGGTCAGAGCGGATGTTACAGTGCAAGGCTTGTCTCATGCGTGCTCTTCTGCACATGCCCTTTCCCTTCCCTTTTGCCACGGCCAACCAGATGTAGCCACTTCAAGACCTCCAGAGCTGTGAATCCCCTTTTCTTTACAAATAACCCAGTAACAGGAAGAAAAAAAAAACACACAGATGAAGACACAGACACAAAAAAGAGGGAGAGAGACGCCTAGCCTTGGCATCAAAGCATGACATCTTCCTATCTGTTTCTCCTTATGGGACTGAGTTTAGTGGCATTGCCTGAGCAACAAGCTATATTCCATTCACTCTCTAGTGAGAAAGAAGCTTCATGACGCGGGAAGCATATGTTTACGGATGTGTACTAATAAGTGGCGTGACCCTGGCGCTGGCCTCCTTGCTCTCGGGAAACAGCAGTTCTTCTTCCAGGAGACACTGGCCAGGACGACAAATAATGTCACTGGCCTGCCACTGCATTAGGAGCTCAGGGTTAATTAGAAAATTTAACAGCAAAGGCTAGCAGGTTTTCAATTTGAGAATTCATCTTCCAAAACCCCTAAACTTCCTTTACTAAAGGAAGGCACTTGCTCTGGAGATGCTGGGCCCAGGGGCTGTTGAGAGCTCTGGGGCTTTCACTGAAATTACTCAGGAGCTCTCCAGGACAGGACCGGGGTTAGATGCTGTCCACATGAAGCTCTGGTGATATTTAAAGTCAGTGTATCAACAGTGCCACACAGGACGCACCATCCTCCAGAGCGCGGCACTAGGTGGCCCCCAAAGGACTCGAAGCACTGTATCCACATGCTCGTGCACTTCAAGCTTCCAATCAGATGCGGCAACTTCTACCCTGGTTCCAAACTGGCTAGAAGAGGAGGGATCAGCAGGCTGCTGCGAGCAGCTCGGCCAGGAAGGGGCCACTCACCATCTGCAGGATGTCAGCAGAAACCATCTGCATGCAGCACATGGCCGTGGCCAGTGCACAGACGATAGTGGAGAGGACGTTGAGGGCACACACGCTGAAGAGCAGATCCTGCGGGGAAAGAGTGGGAGGAGGTCAGCTCGTCTCGGCATCTCAGACACTGATCCTTCGCCCTTCCGGGGTCCAGGGTAAGAGGGGGCAAAGCTGTTCACTGACTAGTTGTGTGTGTGTGTGTGTGTGTGTGTGTGTGTGTGTGTGTGTGTGTGTGTGGTTTTCTTTCAGGATCAAAATGGGCCTTTAATATGTATACCTTTGTTTCTTCTTTTATGGAGCTGATCAAACTATTCTTAAATGATGGCTTTGAAAATTTTGATGATTAGGTGGTCAGGAAGATGTCTACGAAAATCTTGGGATGGCCGTTGTCTAAGAAGACAGACAATTTTTAGCTATCACAACATGTAACTTAAAACTCTGATGAGTAATTAATAAAATGGCAAGAATTTAAATGATGTTCTTTCTTAATCATATCTTTATCATAATCATCACTGCAGCTGTAAGAATGACCTCTTCCTAATCCCCATTACCACTAGTTTGTTCTCCATGTTTATAACATTTTCATTTTAAGAATGTTGCATAAATGGAGGGCTGGAGATGTAACTCAGTGATGTAGGACTTGTCTACCATATGCAAGGCCCTGGGCTCAATCTCCAGCACTGCCAGGAAAAAAGATTACATTTAAAAAAAGAACACTCACATCATTACAATCATACAGAGTGTAACGTTTCAGAAATGGCTTCTTACACTCAGCATCCAGGCTCAAAATCCATCCAGGCTGAATTAATTTGTATTGAATGAGAGACTGAAATCACAGAGGAAACCCGTCAGATGCTACTGGAGAGGGACTAAGCCAAGAAGCATGAAGATAGGCTGAAAGTGACCTCGAAGCCCAAACCAACAGGCATGGCCGCTCACTGGGCATTGGCAGTGGTGGTGGCGGGGGACACTAGAGGTGGCATTCTGGAGAGTGGGCATAAGATGTCCACAGACAGGCCAGGAGATCATGGGAGAGGAGTAACCAATGTGGTTGGAGCCATGGAGAGGCTGACCTCCTGGGGACCTCCTTCAATACATTAGTGAATGGCTAGGAATTTGAGCCTGGAGCTCAAGATGTTGATCAGAGCTGTTGGGGCGGATGAGAAGCCATCCCTATGACCGCATCTGGGGATGTTCCCAACATTCTGTAAGCCTCTGTCTACTCATTCCCATCTTCAGATCCATCAGACTTCAGGGCATCAGGAGCCCCATCGATTCCCCGCAGATGAAGGCATTTCTTTGAGGAGATTATTATTCTCGCCTTAAAGATACACCAGAGGGTAACTGACACAGTATATGAGACTCTTTAGATGTCATCTCCTAGGGACTTTGAAATTATAATTAAAATAGTGGCATCTGTTCTGTAATACAGCTGACAGTATAAACAATGCCTGTCCTTTGTCCTCAACACTAGACATTCAAATTCACACATTCTGTTGTCCTTAAAAGGGATGCCCCACCCTGCTGAAAATAACATTAATTTTACATATATTCCCCCCTTGTAGCCAATTATAACTACTCATAAAAAGAAATACAGATCATAATCTCTTACCGGAATGTGCATCCTGGGGAAATTTCACGTTCTGTCTCATGAAGTGTCTTTATTGACAACTCATGCCAGAGGGACATGCCCCACACCCACACACCAGTTTTTTAAATGCCTGGCTGTTTTCTAAGTGACTCCACACCACTGAGAATTTTGTTTATGTGTTTTCTCAGAATTCTCTTGGTTAAACAATGCTTTCACCCCTTGCCAGCTTTATCAGAGTCTTCTACAAGTACTGAAATTCGTGTTGTATAAAATTCCTTTCCAAGGTCATTCAACATCAAGTGTGAAAATAAAGTAAAGCTTTCACTGCTGAAACTGAGCTTGGGGGCTGGACATCTGCATACTTACTTTTGAAATATCAACCCTAATAAAATTAGGAACATCCAGTATAGAACAAATCATGTATAGAACAAAACCAGGAAAAAAGTTTTAACTACATAGGCAAACCTAAAAATTATGAATTCTTTTAAAATCTCTCCAGCAGAGGCTGTGGGGAAAAAGGAATTCTCCTGCACCGTTGGTGGGAATTAGACTGGTACAGCCTTTGTGGAGGTCTGTCTGGAGGTTTCTCAAAAAGTTGGGATTGGAAATCCCATTTATTCCAGCTATTCCACTTCTAGGCATATTCCCAGAAGAACTGAAAGCATCATACCACAGGGATATATGTGCACCTATGTTTATAGCAGCACAATTTGTAATCGCCAGATCTTGGAAACAACCCAAGTGTCCATCAACTGAGGAATGGATAAAAAAGTTGTGGTATTTCTATACAATGGAGTATTATTCAGCTATAAAGAAGGATCACATTGAGATATTTATCAATAAATGGGCGCAGCTTGAGACCATACTCATAAGTGAAATAAATCAATCTCGCATGTATGAATACCGAATAGTTTCCCTAATGTAAGTAATGATTCAAATATATAAAAATATGTGGTAATCATGATTCCCCATTATGTGGCCTTGAAGCCTTATAAAATTTTCACTTATTAATTAGAAAGGCTTTATTCTGGGCTTCTTGATATGGAAATATTTGAAGCTATAGTATATGAAGTTTTATCCAAATATTTCAAGGAAAAAGACAGACACTATGGTAACTACTATTCTTTAAAAAAAATTATTTAGTTATTTCTTATGTTTATTTTAATTAAGGGAAAAATTTTAAAAATTAGGATATATAATAGTAACTCTTTTCGATTTCCTATTAACTTGTTTTGAAGTCCTGTAATACTCCCACGATCTTGTTTTGACTGATTAGACTCTGTTCCATTCTGCGCGATAGTAGCAAGTCTGAGGGTATAGGCAACTACTTTGAAGGCAATAAGATTCACAAAGATGCCCATTCTGGTTTGACTATTGTCTCCTTTGGAAGTCCTGTAATGTTTACAATGCCTAAGTTTTATTGGTCTTGTTCTCTACTGTTTTGTCCAACTTTATAATATCTAATGAGATAGACAATTCTTTTTAAGGAAACAAGAGACAACGTTGATAACCATTGTTAATAACCTTGTACTCTGTTCTACATCATGTGCTATGTCTATCCTTGGTTTTGACTGACAGCTTTGTTTTGCCATATTTGACTTTATTCTCTCCCCCCCCCCAAAAAAAGTAATAAGAACTAAGGAGTAATAAAATACAAAATGTGTAAATTTTGTTGTAAAAAAGAGAGGGAGGAAAAAAAAAAGAGCTCTAACGGATATAACAGCAAGTGTGTTTAGGGGTGTTAAATAGCTGACTATATTAATGTTTTTGGATCATTGAACACAGCTGTTTGCAGTCTCTCTGTTTGAATGTCTACTTTGTATTCTTTGATACTGTGATTTGAGCAACTATTTCCAAGATGATAATATGTAATCTATTAACAGGTGATTTCTTACTGTTATGTTTTTTTTTGTAGTTCTGTATTATGTGTAACCTTACACTGCTTTGTTTTGTTTTGTGTTTTTCTCTTTTTCCTCTTAAATAAAAAAAAATCTCTCCAGCAAAGGTAAATTCTGGGTATTTATAACACAATTAATGGAGAAAGGAGACAGCATGGAAACTCACAGATGTTAGGAAACACTTAGAACTCAGGATGTTGATTCTCTTGTTTGCTGGCAATACTGATATACCTTCAGTATTGAATGTATATCATACAGAGGACAAACATGCATTCATTTATTAGCTCACTCATCAGTTTTCTCCTGCATGTTGAATAGCAAAAGAGGATTTGATGGGAAGGCACTGTCAGCCAAGATATAATGATGGAAAGCATAGTAACAGGACTGTCTCCTAGCTTACGGCGGAAGTGACCGTACTGGACAGTAACTGTGTGTGGGATTTGGGTGTTTGGCTCTGTCTGAATCCTCTCCAATATCTGCTCCGTTTTGTGTCTGTTGCTATGTGTTGCCAGACGCTGGCCAGGGATGCCTGCCTGACACTAACTGTAGCTCTGTGCGTTAGGCCTGGCCAAACCTTCCTGTTCCTGGTAAGCATGTCCAGAGGGAAGCTGCTGACCCCTCTACCCAGCTTATTTCCTCAGGGTGTGGCTGCAGTAAGCGAAGCAGGTATCAGCTCCCCCTTGGCAAAGTGTAGGTTCCCTACAGAGGGAGCCCCCAAGCTCAGCGTCCTCCCCTGTAAAGTAGTTCTCTGTGCAGGCATCCACGGGGGCGGGGTACTTTGAGACAGGAGAGCTGACACAACCCTGTGCACACCCAGGCTGCCGCTTTCCTTAAGAATCACGGGTGTCTTTGTGTCTTGTGGAATAGCACACCCATAACTGGGGGCTGCTAAATACCTGCTTGCAAATTTATAGAATATCTCTTCTGAATTCTAACTTCATGCTAGAAGGAAGTGATACACTTGATTTCCAAAATTCCAACCACACACAGAGAAAAATTCTTCACCTTTAAATGAAGAAGGTGGGAACAAGACTCAGTTAAAAAAAAACACAAGCTTTTGTTGGTACCAAGATCATTGTGTGTGAGTGTGTGTGTGCATGCACACATGTAAAGCTGGTAATTTTATTTTCCATAAAATTGTTCGAGTGATGAGAAACATCCTAGAATAGACCCTGGGGTATTTAATTCTTCCTGTAGAAAGCAGTTATCAGGCCAGATGTTACGGGGACAGGTCTGCAATTCTATTACCGTGGGAGGCTGAAGATAGAAAGTTTGAGACCAACCTGGGCAGTGGTAGCAACTTATGAAGACCTTGCCTGAAGAAAAAAGTTTAAAAAGAGCTGGAGAGTAGCTCAGTGTGAAGTTCTGGGGTGGGTTGAAGGGTGGGGGTTTTCAATCTCAAGCACCCTACAGCCAAAAGAAAAAAAAAATCAGCAGTTACTGGATACAGCCCTATCTGGCTGGCTCAGATAGGGACCCTTACATAAAGGGTTACAAACCCAAGTGAATTTCACTTTCTCTGACCACATTCAGTAATGAAAATGCTACCACAAAAGCACAGGACTGCTCCTCCCACAAAATGTGTTCTC